ATAATATGTTAATTGTACCGTTTATTTTTTTATTGCAATCTATAATTTACCAATATTGGCACATCGACATTAATGTTTTGTAACGGTTGCTAAATTCCTTTAAATATATGATAAGCTTTTTAATGTATCTACATTAATGTTGGTTCATTGTTGTCAATTTCTAAAAAAAAAAAAAATGACAAATTTCTAAATTGTCTAAACTACATTTGAAAATTGTGTTAGAAATAAAGTAAAGAAAATAAGTTAAAATAAACTCAGCTGTTTAAATAAAGCTAATTAGTCAAGCTTTGTTCAAGTCAGACATTTTTTACTCATAACTGGGACTCGGAAGTTGGTGACATAAAATAATTTAAAAAGTAAATACTCGATCAAAAAATGTTCTAAAATGGTCTGAATGTTAATTTAAAAATCTAAATATTATTCCAAAAATGTTGGTTGTAGCTACAGAAACATATGATAATATAAGTATCAACAAAATAGTTGTATAGTTAAATGCACTTAACTAAATTTCCAGTCAATAATATTATTTATTCACTTAGTCAACTATAAAAATATACTGGTTGACACTTTTTTGTGTTTAAATCTATCCCATTTCGGTATGTTTTGTACACAATTTAGTAAAATTTGAATGTTAAAAGGGGCATAGGAGTCGTTAAATAAACTGACATAATGTATCTACCCAAATCAGAGGTAATTTGAGACAACTTTCAAATTACATTTAGGTTGAACGATGAGAAAAAAAGATTGTTGGTCGTATGAAAACAGGGTTATTAAAATAGAGTTTTTCACTTTTTTCTCTGTATTTTGTTTTGCCTCCAGTGTAGAAAATATGCATAATATTATGGCTAAACCTTTTTTTTTTTTGATAATTCGGTTTTTTGCCAGAGAAAATAAATGTTGATCGCCGAATATTATATTATTATAATAAAGAAACCACCTGTGAGAGGGATTTAGCGAAACGAAAAAAAAACCGATAGTGGACTTGTCGCTCGGCTTGTATACCCCAAGGCAATTGTTAGAGGTTATCAAACTGCACACCGTCTAGTAGTAGTGCACCTGAAAATGTATAGCAACACTTAGTGTGATATCATTATTGAATACTTACTTTCTTCGGGGAAAAAGGTATGCATCCAAACCGAACTCCTCGCTACACAGCTGCTGTAAGCGCGTGGCTGTGGACCTTCCGGTTTTTATAGCATGCGAAACTGGTTTAACGATACCAGGGCAAAATATGTCTAACGGTTTTATAATATATATATTATATGAATATATAGCCCCTGTATGTAATAATGCCCAGCTTCGTTCTCCTGCAACCGCTCGCATAACTGCCTTAAACGCCACACTTACAGCATATTATCTGAAGACACTGCACAACTATTATGTGCTTAAACCGTAACAAATGTAACTCTGAGCGACTTTACCGCAATGGATTGAAGCACTTTACAGCCCTACCGTTGAAGGCAACACGACGAACTCACAACTTACATAAGTAATATTATCACTCTTAAATAATAAAAATAAAACAAATGTACTCAAGTGTGTAACCGAGCGAGTAAATACCGTCATATTTTATGAAACAGCTGAAAACATATCAAAAATGTAAAAATCAGACTAATATAATCAATTTTCAAAGTAGGTATATAAAATGTAAATATTGGCATAAAACTGTTTTGATGGTTTTTTCTACTAAAAATGGTCTTGTTAAAACTTTGAAAACAAAACAAAAATGTTATCCCGAGAAAAAATAAGTACATAATAATTATGTACATACTTAGATTTGTTGAAAATTTTGTGGAGATTTAAAAAAATTATAAAGTGTTGAAAATGTCGCGCACAACCCTGTGAAATAGTAAATACATACTTAAGTGCAAAAGTTTTAATCAATCTTTTAATGTTTAAGGCATCGTGGTTTGTCTTAAGATTTTTTTTAAAAAAACATTATTTTAAATTAATCTTTTTTCGATCACGAATGCATTTAAGAAATTTCTAAGAATTTTGTAGCGCTTTTTAATCCGTGCCCACTAACGCACTGTGGAACTGAGCTGTGTAAAAGTAAATATAAGTACAAAATTAATTATGATCATTGTTATATTATGATACATTTTTTCTCCGTGTCAAGTCAATAAGGTTCTCTTGAGATGCACAGAAAAAATATCGTCGATTGGTTAATTATTATAAGTAATACTTACACATCAGAGTTAGACCTAGAAGTACATTACATAATAAAATTACATTGAAAGTGTTGTTTCGATTAACAGTTACACTATAAGGTTTTTTTTTATTAAGAAATTATAAACTATGGTTTGGCCGGTGTTACATAGGTTTGCCCAATTATTGCTAGGTATACTAATCTTATGCTCGAATTCATGTTTTTTTTTTTTTGTACATTTTACAAACAGTTATTAAAGATTGCTTTCGGATGAAACTATTCGAACAAGTAATCGTCGCTTTCATACCAATTGGCCACTCTTGTCTCATCGCTGGCTGAATGATTTGTGAAATAACAAAAAAAAAACACAACTTCGGTGTTGAAGACCGTGTCAATATTGTCGTTAACACCTTATAGCTGTTCTGAGTTGTATCTTAAATTTGTTTTTTTAAATTATGATTCCGGTTATTAAGTTTCCATGTCGATATTGAACCGACACTGTTCTTCGGTCAGCGATGAAAGCTATATTATATTATAATGATAAACACAATTTGGATAACATAACACTTTGATGGTCGAAGATGTTTTTACTTTTCGATTGGAAATGCGACAACACATTATAATAAGTATCCATTACATGTAGTTTTCTGATTATGTGTGTCCACCTGTACTCGAACAGTACGTTCTTTTAAATGAGAAGACAAGAGTTGCAAAACTTGTATGTGTGTATTATACTTAATGATATCTCATCGGTTGACACGGTAGCTGTTGGAACTTGACTATTGCCACACAAGTAATATTTATTGAAAAAAATACTACATAATATTTGTTTTACCTACTTCATTGTTGACTTGTTGAAAAAAACTAGTCTAGGCCCATTTTTCAAATTTGTCAGCATATTCAAAATGGCTACTATATAAATCATGGTCAATTATTGCCTATGCTTTGCCCCTTAACCCAAATAGCCCAACAAAAACACCTCGAAAAGACACCCATCCGACCTTGTTATTAATATTTTTTGGAATTTTTTTGAAAGAACCGGAATATAAGTAGAATTATAAGAAAAAATAAGTATTAATGGCAAACCCCCATTTGATAGATGCTGTAGGTCAACCCAATGACGGAAGTAGGTGATCGGATAGATTTTTAGACAATAAAAAAAAAATATGTGTTTATGAATGTTATTATGTTGTTGTTGATTTTTTTTGTTCTTGTAAAAAACGTTTACACCTCGACATCGACTGTAATATTATAACAAAATAATACAATAACGCCTGTAATAATAATAATAATTATTATCCTAAACGGGGTCCCGAAAATTCTAGGAATAAACAATAACGATCCCAAAAAAAAAAGGTTAGGTTAAAATAATAATAATAATAATAAAAAAAAATGCAATATTAATCAAATGTTTTTGTTATTTGATATCTTTTTTTTTCTTAACATTTTTTTTCTTCATACCACATTTACCACTATTGTACTCGAGTTAATCGTTTTCCATTATTAAGGCGAATTAAATTTTTAAACAATGCCGTCGTCTCCGTTTATGGAAAACGCATAATGATTTTTATATTCCACAAAACGAACGATCTCCTTTATCTCGTGGTACACGTATAATGGTTTGTTTACAAGTCGGTTTTATATTAAAAAAAAAAAAAAAAAATTGAATAATAAAAACATTAACAATAAGTTCAGATTGTCAAGAATTGCTGTGCACGCGTGTCCTTATCATCTTTATGAAAACAAACCCATTTTTTTTGTTTTAATATTATATGTAGATATAAAATGTTAATATGTCTGTTTAGTGTTTAAAATAATATGAAGCGAAACAATCCTATTGTATTATATTTTTAATGTGTGTACATAACAAGAACATTGTAATAGCCGTATTAAACACATGATTTATTAACTCGCTTATTGCATAGGAATAGCCAAAAATTATAATATTCAAACAGTTTGGTCGGTAATTAGAGAGAAGACGGTTTTTAACAATATTATATTTGTGTTCACCAAAGTCCTGATAAATTTATAATTTTTATTTTCCTTTAGGAAACAATATTGTTTTACTGGTGCTAAATAGTAAAAAAAAAAAAAAATAATAACTTACACAAAGTACACTTTTTTAATTGTTGTATGTACAACACTACATAACATAATGGGCATATTTTTATGACCTTAAGACCATTAAATGTATGTATATAATATTTTATAACTATTGCAATTAGATAACACAGTCCGTATTAGGGTTTCTCGAGTTGAACAAATTTCAAAAAAAATGTCAACAGTATCGCAATTTAATTTTAAAATTAACACTTGTGTTGCACATTTCTGACGTTGTGTCTTCATTTTTGATTCGGTAGTTTTAATATTTCATCCGATAAAATTGTTGTAATTTTTTTATCACTTGAAATGATTACACAACGACGCGTTACTCCACAGTGATTATATTGTTTGGACATATTGCGTTTAATCGTTCAAGCGTTGACGACCTGACGTTTTAGGCGAAACGAACATTAACTCGTTTTTTATTGCAAACAGTACGGAGCTTGCCTGAAAACCTGAAAGTTATAAAAATTGGCACGATAACGCACAAACATGCAACTTACGTACAAACAAATGTTTAGAATTAACCGGTTTTGTTGAAGTCGCGTTAGGGATTTTCCAATATCCTATTGGATACACTGGGATTCCCGGTTAGGCATTTTAACGCGAGAGTCCTCGTCCCTACAAATTGGACTCTTCCCCGAGATGCCCAAACCGGGGAAGAGAAACAACAAAGTCTGCTGTGCTCCATTAAAGAATATCTGTAATTGTGCTGTAAAGACTAATCTATCTGAACATTTTGTTTCAGCTCACCGGCAACAGTAATTCGTCGCTAAGACAACTGCTCGCCGGTTTGGTGTTCGAATTCAGTTTGGAGCAACCCGGATACTACTTGGGCGGTTCATTCGCTGAAATCGACCCAAATGCCCGCATCGGCTGTCTGGAAGGGGACATAGTGATCGTCCGGGAAGATCAATACAGGCCAGAAGATCCAGCACACGGTAAATATAATAATTATTATTGTCGCCATCCCCCTTGTATTTTACTAGTCAATGTCCCTCTGACCGTTGTGTCACATGAGTTGCCTACACGGACCGCCTCGTTTGTTGCATTTATATATATATATATTGTAAATTGCAAGCAAAATGCGTTCGCCAAGGACTTGATGCGCTTATTAGCATGAAACTCATTACTCGTTTGGATTAATAACAGTATCGATATATTCGCCAAGTCATGGTTTTAATTGAATTAATTATTAATTGAGCCATAACAATCGGATGGGATGGTCGGACGTTTTGTTGATTATTATTTCCTAGTCACGTTTTATAATAGACCATCGATTTATATCATATTCAATAACTTTTACTAAACTTAATTACCATTTTTTTTTTCTTTTTCGGAACCGCTTTTGGCGTGTACTCACGATTCAGATTACAATTTAAGTCTATATATATATATATATTTGAAAACGTGGGAGAAATATGCACTTTTGAAAGAAATAAAACAGAATTGGCCGATTATAATAATTTTTTTTTTTTTAATGGATAGAACAATTTATATAATAAATTACTATAAAACGAATAGCATTCAATTGAGATTGAACATACCTATTTTAAATGGGTAAAAAGTATTAATTAAAAACAATTTTTTTACTATAGTAAAATAAAATAGTTTTCGGTATAATCACCACATAGAATTAATTATAATTCAAGAGGTCCTTAAAAAAACGGTTGTAAGAAAAAAAATCTGTTTTCAGTTTTATTTTAGAAATGTATTATTTATTAAAAAATACAAAATTCAATATAATTTGAAAAATTAAAAAAATCAATATGAATGTTATTTTTTTATAAGGTGTATTTTTTTTTCTGTTTAGAAGACGATCCGAGGTATTGTTCGGCCGGCAAGTTCGTTCACGAAGAAACGGCATACGTGACTTGTCTGAAGTCGGCCAAAGAGCTGTACGGCGAGCCGTTGCGAAAAATGGAAGTATTGTCGCCCGAAGAATACGACCTACTGTTCGGCAAACTTACCCAAGTCGTCGACGAATGCCTTCGGGTCGTCCAAGAAGTAAGTGGACTTACATACATAGGCGAATTATTCGAAAACTGTTTTATACGATTTTGTCAACTCTCTTCAATTCGATAGCCGTCCGTATAATAACATTACTGTCCAGCAAATTAATACCTAAGGCGGTCAACAAGAAACAACACATGGAGCGTGTACATTTAGTTGCCTATACAACACGCCTGATGTAACTGATTGTTTTTTTTTTTTCACATTTATAATTGACTTTCTAATGATAAATGAGCGGACCAACAGACCGTCGATTGTTCTGTCAAGCGGTTACCTTGAACTTTTCTTTTAACTATTCCCACGTCTGTCATAGTTGTGTTTTATCCATTCAATCCATTCTGTAAAATGCTCGGTTCGGTTCGGTTGTATATTATAATATTATTATCAAAAATGAAACTCTATTTTTCTAATGCAACTCTTCACTATCGACAGCGGAATTTATATTTTTTTAAGTGAAAAGCTAACAATTTAAAAAAAAAATACACATTTCAAACCACGAATTTCCGGTAAAAACTATTTTTTTAAAAATTAATAATATTTTTATAATTAACACAATGTTCTACAACTAGTTCAATGAGTAACGCTTAAGACTGGAGTGAGTTAGATGAATACTTTGCTGTCTGAGAAATTAATGTATATTTATCTCAGACATAAATAATGAAAAGGTTATGTTTTAAAAATATCACAAAAAACGCTGTCCCATTAGCAGATTTAAACGTTTCAAGGATATTTTTAATATAATTGTTTTATATAATGTATGGAATTCAACGTGGTTAAAAAAAATAAATTACAATAACCTGACAATGTTAATTAAATGTATATTTAAAAAATCCTACACCATCTATTTGTTAAAATATTTTTTAATATTGTATTGTACTGTTTTGGAAGGAAATCGCATATTTTGAAAATTATTTTTTCCCTATATTTTTAGGTATATATTTTACTATATTTTTCAATACTTAAAAAAAATGTTTATCTTCACTCCAAAATATCACTTATCAAATTATTATGAGGTAACGGCTATTAGAAATATTCTGCATTCGCTTAATGTAAAAAATAGCAAATATACCACTATTGTAAGTTACCTTTTCCTTGATATTGTTATGCTTAAAGTAAGTTGTTGTACGCGACATTTAAAACGGGCTGGTTTTTTTGCTTACTTAACGTTTTCAGACAAAATGTCTGCACACGCCTATAATAATGTTAATGTAAGAATAGTATATAATTTTATAAGAAAAAAATAACATTTACCTATAATAGTGCAACAATAAAAAAACCCTTACAAGTTTTATAGTACCTATTAATACTATCAATAGCAGCTGTTACAACACTAACGAGAGCACAGATCCACAACCAGGTTCTAAATGGTCGTTGAATATTTCCTTATTAGAACATATAAGGTTAGGTTTAAAAAAAAAAATAAATAAGCAATGAGAATGGTTACACGTACTGAAATATAAATTTTCTATATTTAAAATTTTACTATTTTCTTATTGAACTACATAATATAATATTAGTCGTCATGAGACATGGCATTTTTGAATATTGACCGATTTGGATGAAATGATCATCTGAAAAAAATAAAAATACAACTCATTAATAATATTAACGCAATAAAACCATTACATTCAGAGTAAGATATAGTTAACAAATGGCAGTATTGATAAAATATAAACCATACCAACTTAGCAATTAGAGAAGAAAAATTCATAAGTACAGCGTATAATAATATTACCAATTATAAAATATATGCTAATATTGTAAGTAACCAGGACTTAGGTATAACTTACTTCACTGCTAAGACAGAAAAATAATTGTACTAAAAAAACCCGGGTAGTTTTAGTTTTTTTTTTTTTTAATAATCTTATACTGACTTAACTGGAGCCAATTTTATAATTCAAATCGTTTAATTATATTATTATTATTATTGTTGTTTGTATAGTTATACTATATTAGGGCCAGGAAGTATATACTATGTACACTATGCACTTAGAATATTTTTTTATTATATTTTTTAATATTATTTAAAATTAAAACTTAATGCGTAAGTATGAAAAAACCCAACATATACTAAAACAAACTATTGAGTTTTGATTCTTTAAATCGTAATTCAAGTTTCTTGTATAGTTTTTTTTTAACCATCCAGTAAAAAAATGCAAACGCACAAACTTCCGAGTCCTAATTAATTTCTTAAAATATTTTTTTAACTCTATGACATATTTTGTCAATAGTATATGTTGGAAAAAAAATGAACTATCGAAGGTACGTTTGAACAATGAAATGAAATAACGTTAAAAAAAATAAACGAATATCGTCACACAATTTTTTGTACAAAATCTGGTAACATACCTTTTGTTTCCTTAATTTAGTAGCCAATTTCAGAATTAATTTCTTTGATGGTCGATTTGTTTTCTTATAAAAGGCACGACTGGATCGATGAAAGCATTTCCCTTCATGACTTGTCCGACAACGACTATGTTCAAGGATTTCTTTACGCAAACCATTTTCAATTTTTGGAATGAAAGTTGTCTGTAGACAATTGTCGACGTGAATGCGATGGAAACTTCAAAGCGTATTACAACGGTCGCAAGCGTGTTCAAGCGGTTTATATAGGATTTTCAAATAGGTCCAAAGTCCCATAGATAGGCCCAGTACAAGGATCGTCAGTGTATTATAGTGCAAGTGCAATAGCCATTGTCAGTTTTTTGTATTAAGTACGTTGAACCGTCGTCGGCACAGATAAGATTATATAAATTATGTTGCTTACAATGAGTTCATTACCCTATTTAGGTAAGAAAAATACATAAATTCTAGTTTTATGATTATACAAAAATAAAATAAAATTATCATAATATTATTTATTTGATATTTTACTTGGTAGATTTTCAAAAACAACTGTATTAGAATATTTAACGCCTCTTGTGTTTAACAAAGCCGAATTAAATGATAGTTCAATAAGAGGTTTGCCAGTCCGGAGGGCAATCCAATTTCTCGCTGTTCTACGTTTTTATGGGACTGGAATGAATAATCCGTTTTTCAATTATTGAACAGGTGATGCCTTCACCCATGATCAAATTATAGAACAAACTTGTTGTAGAAGAAACCAAATATATATATTATCAATTGAATAAAATCATGTCTCAAACACAAGTAGGTATATTAACAATTGCCAACGAAAATCAAATCATATTAGAAGTGTTCAACAGTCGCGATGAATAAAATATATTACCTAATAAATATTAAAATTGAACCGCTTATCAAGACAAATTATTAAAAATGATTAAAGTCATATACAGCGATCAATAGCGATAACAAGTGAAGGGCACAAGGGAAGAAGGGTTGTAGTCCATGTATGAACATTTTAGAGTATAGCAAAAACAAAGTTCGTGAATTCCTCTACCTCTTACATAAGAACAAAAAACATCTCATTAAGTGCTATTCAACTAAAAAATGTATTCATTTAAACGATCTATTGATATAAATAAAAAAAAATGAATGGCATTTTCATACTTCATACTATAATTGACACAACGTGTAGTCTAAAAACGAAACCTGTGCCAGTATATTCCATATAAATGTTAAAAGTTAACATATTGTATTATGTATACTATCACTGTCCATAATTAAAAATAATAAAAAATAACGAAATAACTCATTTCAAATTAGTACTTATTATTGCTTATATATGTTATCATTCGTCCGTTTAAAACTCTGATGAACTAACTTAAACCTCTATATAATGACTTGTTAAGGTATTAGATGTTATTTTTAGGTAGCCGCCTTTATAAAAAAAAAACCATACTTACGAAAACAACGATATTCGTTATCATCCTACATAATGAGGTCGAGGAGGTCACAAGTTTTAAGTACAACATAATACTACAAATTAAAACGAGGATCAATCACTCGAAAAAAAATGCATTTTGGTTCGATAAGAGTTTGTTTGTAAATTAATTGATGTCGAAATCATGTTAATACATAGGTAACTATAATTAATAACAGTGCACCTATAGAAATTATTTTATCAATTTCCTTATAAGTTGTTTAAAAATAAAACTGTACACGGTATTAATACTAACATTCGATCTACCTTCAGGGAGATTTTCAGCTGTTGGATTCCAAAACTGGTGCTCAAATGGAAATAAAAAATACTTTGTTGTTTGTTTTTTTTTTACAGAAATATTTTGGTTTTTGTACTGTTTACCGGTCAGGTTTAATTTCAAGTTCCTTCCAGTATATCTTGTTGTTACATGTGCCATAAATCTATCCATTGTTCGTGTACACCAAACATTATGTTGAATTTATGTTTCTTAAAAAAATGGTACTTATTTTTTTATTATTTACCCATATTTGCCACGTAACTTTGGCGGTAGTATGAAAACAAACTTAAAAAAATATTATTTAAAAAAGTGTAACAGTTGAGTGCAATAAAAACGAGGGGTTTTATAGCGCAAATGAGTATAAATTAATAAAAAATCCTAAAAATATTTTCCAGAACAAAAGTTATTTAATTTGACAAATCTGTTGCAAGTCTATAAGTTAGAAATTGTACCTAGATGGTACATTGTAGGGCTAAACATTTTAAATGGCCACCCCTTCCCGTTTAAAATCGAGAAACCCCCCCCCCCTACAAAAAAAAAATGTGAACAAACAATTTGTATAACATTATGTGTATTACTATTAACATTTTAACGTGGCTCTCGGACTGATTATATTTAATTAGTAAAAGATTCTGTCATATAAAAAAAAAAAAAACACCGATTAATCAAAGTTCACCGGTTTCAATGTAAACCACACAGTCTCTAAAATTGATACTTTGAGGTTAACCACAGCGGTATAACGTTTCATTAACAATCGACATAAGAAGTGTGTCATAACCTAAGTTTGCCCAAGGCTACACTAGAAATATTTTCAAATTTAAAACCGTCGATAAGTTTTATCAAAGTGCATTATTTTTATAGGTACACTTACATTACCTGTCTTTTTTTGCAAATTATACAAATATTTTTGTTGGACTTAAATGGTCAATTCAATTGCTATTAAACGCGTACAAGTTAGCAATGTTTGTTGTCTTAACTTTCAAGACGGACAATTTTTATAAATAGATATTATTGTGAGTGTTTAACAAGTGAATCGGTCGACAAGTCTTTATTTCACAACAAATAGATGTCATTAAAAAAAAAAAAAAAAACATGTTTTCACTCTTAGACAAGAGTTCACCATATTATTATTTTATAACATTCTAGATCAAAACGTCTTATATAATCCGAATTATTAATCACGATAATCATAAAGCTGATTTATAATATGAAATCTGTTTTCGAAGGCGTTCATTAAACACTTCAGTACCAGACAAGGTTATTATATTATTATACATCCAATAAATCATATTAGGTGTTTTCGTGTTCACCGCAAACGTATCATTATAGGGACTTAAAACCTCTTTGAAATTATATATATATATATATTACTTACTTACTTATACTTTTTTTTGTGTCCGATAAGATAATAATAACATATACGCAATTGTATTGTACATTAATATATTTTATCAATTAAATAAATTTTAAGTATAGGTTGTTGTCATAATATATTACACAACTTGTTGAAACTCGAAATAAATAGGTTAGGTGTATGTGTATACACTCTCAACACAGTACTCTGCCAACACATTTAACTTGACAGTATGAATGTACACTTTGGGGTAATGATTAATTGGGTTGGGTTTAATATTCATAATAACCGCATAAAGTCAAAGTCTGAGATGCCATCCAATATATATTTTTTTAAACTATCATCAATCCACTCGGTTTATCAAAAAAAAATCTTCTTACTCCACAAACCGTCTCATTTTGTACTCTCTCTAATGCAATTTGGGCGCATCTCACAAACTACCTACTCATTCCTCATCCTGCTTAAATTTCATCAATAACAAAGGTAACTCTAGTGACGCCCTTAAAGACTTCTCGAGGACACCCTAAATGGAATTCCTAATTTCCATTTACCTTCACACTTAGGGAATGCCAAACAATTACTTTCATACTTATAACTGCTGCCCAACATCATAGAACAATATTTTATGGTTTTGGTTTTAGAGTATTGAAAATGCTTCCATTTTTGGGGGGTCACAAAAAATATTTATTTTATGACAAATACACAACCCATTAGCATGCCCGTAGGCTAATGTGTGGGACTTCACCGGTAATCATATTATATTTTAAGCATTTTTTATTATTTCTGGGCGGTGGTATTAGAGTCTCTTTTTATTTGTTATTTATGCATTTATCCGTATACTCTTACCGAGTGATATACACCATTGAGTGTAGGTATATATTATGAAAATAATGTGTGACACCGCTGGACGGTTGTACCGGTGGTGAACATTATTAGCGTTCTAGTTGTAAATAGTTTGGTTGGCTCACACGCTTCTGCTTTCTTTGATCATATATTGTATTCACTGATTCCGTTATGTGCAGCCCACTAAGGAATTTACCTATTTAGAAATAAATCGGTATAAATACGGGTAATAATAATACAACAAACGATGCACAGTGTAAACCGTAATATGTAAAGTGTGTGACACACTCATAACTGTCCAAGTTCACCTTGTGCAGTGTGTGTCTGTGAGAAGAACAACATACACATATTATTCTATACAAATGCCCGTTAAGTTATAGGTGAAAGTGTGTCGGTGCGGCATCGGATCACAAGACGACAAGTGTTTTTTTTTTTAGTGTGTAATAATACTTAAGGCCCCCCACCACGCCCTTTAAGAGTTAATTGCCCTCCCCCCGGACACACCCCTTGGCTGCATTATTGAGTGAATTTCAGGTTTAGCTTGGAAAAAAAAGATTACACCTCCTAAGGCGGTTTGTTGTGTGACAGACCACTTTTTTGATATTTAATAATATAAAGCGCGTCCGTCTGGTTAAATTGGAATAGTATTATTAAACTAAAATAAAAAACCTATTTAATTGTATCCAGGATATTATAAGTGTTTTTCGAACGTTTTTTTTTTTTTTACCGAATCGGTTAGTTTGATTTTTTTTCTTCTGCTTATTCAACTCGTTAGAATAGTATACTTTTAGTTTTAAAACGGTCAGTGTTGGTGTAGGCAGAGCTGATACTTATACAGTGTATATTATACACTTATTGTTATTTAACAATTTTCGAAAGCTTAAATTTAGAAGAGCATATACATTAAAATTAAATTAAAATTAAAACAAAATTCTTAAATTTACACAAATATGCAAAATAAATTGGATATCATTCGTATCCGTAGATCAGGCGATCTATATTTGTAGCTAGATTAACGTTAAGTTGACACTGGTTGTTATGATTAAAAAATCATAGTCATAAATATATTTTTGCATTCATAAAAGCACACTGAGAACGTTTAAGATAAACGATAAAACGTGATAACACTAATAATTGATAACAAATAACAAACTGATATGAGCAATAAGTACTGATATGAAATAATGTAGTGATAATAGAATGTCGATTGATAAGGGAGACCAAACTGTTAAGTGATGATCTAAAATAATGTTAAATATTAAGTACAGGATTTGTATTGCAATTTGCTTTTCGCTATAAAAATGTAAAAAAATATTCATTGTAACGTTACAATCCAAACCCAGTTTGATAAGACTACTCCCCCGTTTTCTTTTTCAAATCTATTGGTCTCCCTCTCTTGTTATAATATTCTTTCTTATCAGTTAAATCTTTTATAAGTCCATCTGAGCTTATCGACAGATTACTGATCTCCCTTTTCCATGTATTATTGATCCGAGCTTATCAATAAATTTTCCATTATCAGCTAACCAAATGATCCATCTCTTATGGATAAATATATTATCTCCAAAGCTTTTCCATCACTTATCGACTGTTCTATTCTTTATTTTTTCGAACTTACCTCGCCGATAAATCATCCTAGCCTTTACAACAATTTAAAAGCATGTTTTTTTCTATTTCCAAAAATGCAAAACCTTTTCCACTAATTGTTGCACATAAGTACATTCAACCATTTTACCTATACCTATTGCGTTAGACAGTTTAGTAATAATATAATAAACCTTGTGTTTTTTTTTTGTTTTACAGTTGAAATCCACTGTGGACCAATGGGACCCAGATACATCACAAATCGGTAAGTTAATTGATTTCACATAGTCGTACAGTGTTATATTTCACGGTGTCTTTATGCCAACATAGTTTTCTTACTAGATATATTACCATGTATTGCATTGTACATTATCGTTGCTTGGGAGAGAAAAAAAGGGTTAATGAACGCGTTCTATCGGAAATACTATGACACGTCCTTGATTCGGTTATCGCTGTATTGTTTTTATGTAAAAAAAAAAAACAACAACAATAATAAAATATAAATTGTCCTGTTGCATTTCAAACGGGTACGATTGTGTTCGGCCGAGCTGTGAACGGTATTGACTCATTCGTGTGTGTGTGTGTGTGTTATAGTATATTGTTGTAATCAATGATTTTCGCTTGTGTACTGATAATAATAAACAATTGAATTACTTGTCCGGTTGTATCGCAACGTGTGACGGGTGCGCATGAATCGAAATACATTATTTAAAACTCGTTTAAAAAAAAAAAAAAACATAAAATCTCATATTGGGTCATTTGGCGTGTAATCGACACAACAATTATGATATTCTCAGTTATATTTGGAATTTTTCGAAAAGTATTAAAAAAAACTATTAACGAGCGCCGACTCCAAAAATCTGAGATAAAATATCACTCATATAATATACAACACACGCGCTTAGAATATATGCGTAGGTATGGTTTAATTAAAATATTTATTGTCCCAAAACGTGCAAGCTCTCATCAGTTATTTTAGAGTTACTGTATTGAGTAGATCAATTTTTGACGGTAAACAGTGATTTACAGCATTTAGTGGATTGAAAGCGGTATGTTTTCTTTGACGTTTAACACCAAAAAGCCTGACAAAATGTCGGCTACGGACTTTTTTTTTTTTTTTTTATGTAAAAAAAGAAAGCCAGCTCGTGTTTTTTTACCGTAAAAATGCATGTGCGGCGTCGTCTTGACTAACAATATTTTCTCCAACAAGAAAAAACCTTCCTCGAGAAAATCATTTTCAGAGAAAATTAGTGTCTAAAGTTAAATGGACCACTATGTACATGTCATATTAGAACGTATAACCGCGTTTGATGTGTCCGGCTCCTGCGGATAAAACCAAAAGGATTATTAAAACAAAAAAAAAGTTAAGTAAAAAAACATAATAATATTCTATTTTAAAAACGTGGAGCAGTAATGGGTCGGCTTACGAAATTAAAAACACCAAAAATAACGTCAAGGTCAAAGTGAAATGATTTTTTTCAAAAAAAAACAAGAAACATACGTTGAAATTTAATTATCGTCTTATTACAAAAAAAACTAAGTCCAAGACGTCGTTATGTAAATTCAATTTCGTTTAGTTGTATTCAAAAAAAGTCATTACGGACACACTTGTGATTTTAATAAAACCTCGTATTATCATCATATATGTGTACAAGTATGTTACGACTTATGAGATACTATTATAGTACAATAATATTATGGCGTTACATCAGTGTTGTCAGTTGTGTCAACATGACGGCGGCGTTTCGATAAAAACAAGTAATCAAAGTCGGGAAAGTTACGAAAAGTAATTTTTTATCGAAAACAATCCTGTTAAAAACTACTGAATAAAAATATACTTTATTAGGTCCATGTTTCCTTGTTATGTCAGCTAGGAGGAATACAAAACGTGTAATTGAATTCAAAATCAGCAATAATGTTAGTAATTTACAATCATTATATTGTTAGGTTAGACTTGAGGACTTGATATGGAATGTTTTGTCTCCGACTATTGCTGTGAAGAGATCGAGAAATTGTTGAAGAATTTTTGTGAACATTTTTTGTAATTTCTTAACAATTTATGCGCGTTTTTTAGCGGTTTTAACAACAGAGGTCGTCGCCCGCGGGCAAAAAGATGTGCTCATGCTTATGAAATTGGTTAATCCGCTAGAACGTGGAATACGGCGAATTCTGCGTAAAACCTTCGGTGAAGTCAATAAACTTGGGTTAGATTACTTTTACCTTGTGTATGGAATATAAATTATGTTATACAAAACAAAATGTTGAGTCATACGGACACGCGGATATACGATACACCGTCATCGCACCATATAGATGTATGCAGCAGCTGGATAGCCGACTCGGTGTCCCATAAGCCTCATAAGAGCTATAATGCATAGAATATAATACAACTAGATAGCCGACTCGATGTGCGTAAATCTGAAGTTTGGCAGCCATCTACCAAGAGGGTAAATTTTACCGTTTATGCCATGAACTATGTATACGGTTGCCAAACTTCAGTAATGCTCATCGAGTAGACTATCTAGTTTAGGGCGATCATAGGCGTAGCGTCACGCATTTCTTTTGCAAACGTGAGCTTTCGTGGGCTTTACACAAATCGTGATCATACAGACTTGTGGGGGTATTTCCCACACCTGGGTATTTTTTTGAATAGATTAATTGGCTGTATTTTCATGGGGAACTAAAGGAAACAGCAGGGTAACTATAATGTTGGCCAGAGCATATAGTTAAGACTGTACTATTGTCATAAATCGCAAGGAGATTATAGGTCAGAAATAATCACTGTTCAGGAGCCAGCAGGCTGAGGCATGTTCCACGTTTTATAACGATTTTAGTCGTTAGGCAAGATTCCCTTCTGTTTAGTCTGTGGTTCTATAAAGGCACCCGCATGCCTTTGTACACGTGCATCGCGAACAAAACACGGTTAGGTTAGGTCTCGTCCACAAGACGTTTACCTGGATGTTATTATCCAAGACACTCGCCCGGTGACCCTCCTTTGGAGCGAAAGGCGAACCGACGCTTTCGATGATGCTGCAAAACATAATATATCAATACAATACGGGGCCCAACCTAACCGGAGGTATCGGCACCGTACGTGCCCGTTTAGGGTAATTTATTTTTCGTTGTTTTACGATGGCGTCGATAAAAAAATTAAAAAAATGGTAGGTAGGTAATCGAAGAGAAAAAAATGCTGGATAACTTTCGCCTTGCCGCTGCTCGTTATCGCGTATAAAAAAACAATGGCTATCCGCTAGGGCCTGGGGGGCTGTTGCGACCACATGGAAAGTGAAATCGCCGGCACTTTACTGTATGATAATATCGTATACACGGGATATACGGCGTACGGTAATCGCCAAACCGGTTGCAAGGCGGCGGCTGTGGTGGTCACTTTGTAACGGGACCGACACATCATCGTCGTCATCGTCATCGTTGCACGTGTCTGTCGGTTATCATAGGAGAACCCGAAACGCGGTGTAATGTATGTAAATTGATACGTCACGATGATAGGTTACCCATCGCTCGGGAAGACGGTCCGCGGATAACCGTTTGACCGCAAACGACCGGAAGGACCGAGAGCGAGAGGTGTCAAAAGCCGTCGTACAGTCGCACGGTAGAAAATACCGCGGAAATGAATTCAACTATGCATCTTGCGTCCTATCGTCCAGTCCCAGTATACTAAGGCCACTAGTATCCACGGCAGCATAACCTTTAGACTCCCTTAGACCTCCTTGGACGGGACATAGACCTGTCCTAACCTAACCTGACATAGCTTCGGTAGTTTTAATGATGTAGAAATTAAAGTTGCACCGTTCGATTGAATGTTGAATTTTTCGTTATTAGAAAATATAAATAACTCAATTTAGGAAATTTCACCCTAAAGTTCTCTTATTTTTCCATCTTGGTCTTCCGAGCGGTGACTTCCCTATCGGGCTATGTTTGAACGCCGACGAAAACTGTTATAATCTTCTTTTTTGATCATTTCCAAATATATTATACCTATATCCTTTGTAGGTCTTAAGATCTTTCGCAACATTATCAGTTCGTCTCATCTGTTTTATAGTAGTCAAAAACAGATCCGTGTTAGAACCGTGGCCAAGGCTAGAATAGGTAATATTAGATTACCGTACAATGCAATGAAGCAAAATCACAATCCTCTTTTTTTTTTCACAACTAACAACTCGGCACAAATAAAAAGGCATGTTAAAAACTCCCAACTTAATTCAACCTATACTATTGCCTCCTTAGATCAAGTGTAACACTGACGTTCTTCTATAGTTTTCCAAAGCACTCTGGGGTAACTCTAGATCACTTCCTGGTCAAACTGTTTCGACTGAAATTAATAACAGTCGCGACGATAGTGACGACTGACCGTTTTTAATTGAAGTTTTTTTTTAAAATAAATCAAACGGATAGGCGTCGATTTCTACACAAGACACATTGCCTCGTATTATTACATTGCTATTTTATACTCTCTCTCTCTCTCCGTCTTATTCGTACGTCGATAATGATTAGCACACACGGCGCAGTTTAACGAACTTAAAATATGTGAATTGACACGAGGTCAATTAAAATGGGCGCTCCTATTTATGGGCCGTACCGGTGCTTTACGGATGACACGACCCGAGGGAGGTTTCCTATTTGAAATGTTTCTAGTCGTAGAAAGCAAACGGCGCGTACACATGACGTCCCAGCTGGGTCTGAATAACTATATAACAATTCTAGTATGTATAACGGCGGCATTGGCAATCCAATATATTCGGGGTCGATTCGGACGTGAACGTTGGACGGTTTAACAGACGGTCATCGCCATAATAAGTATTTTTACCTAGTGATTTCTTTTCATCACGCGAAGATAATATATTTCGCCCACCCGTCGCGCCGGGTAACTTCTTTAATCGTATATGTATCGATATTACAATGTTCGGAGGCGTCTTCTGCCGATTTTCGCGTGCCGAATTATCATTCAAACTGGATAGAGTAAAATAAAAAATATATTATATACATAAACCGTTCGGTCGGGGTCCGTGCCCGGCCGTTTCCTGTAGCCCGAGGCTTACCGCAGTGGCCGAGTATTCGCTTTCTTTCTCCGACACATGACTCGGCTTCGGCTCCTATATGGTCGGGGCGACCACGCTGTGTTGTACAGGACGAACCCATAATGTATAATAATAATAATATGTAATAAGTAGGTAATAACCGTGTGAGCTCGGGTTCGTTGCTTCTGGCCAGCAGGTATAGAAAGTGCTTTCCAACGCGATGCAACGG